GTAAAGATAAATCTATCACCACAAATTCCTACCGTGATAAAGTCATTTCACACACGCGCACAGCCATGTCTTACAGTAACGCGGGCAAGCAAACAGCAAAACGCAAGTCGACCCGTAGCAGGAAGAAGTTGGAAGTCCCCAGATTGAATTTTAATATGAAAACTCCTGGTGCTGCTAACAGCAAATATGCTACTGGAAAACACCAAAAGCAGATTCTCTTTCTGTTGTGGTTTAAGAAAGCACAGCACAGATTTAACTTTACACGAGGGTTTAACCAAAATCCTATTAAACAGCAACGGAGAATTAAGCGAGCTTTACTCTGGTGCTCCGAGGTGTGCTGGAGAGCCAGCACTGCTGCCTGCCCTGTTCCCAGGAAGGGGAATACGCTGTGGAGCCGACAGCTGTGTTGGAGGCAACTGGCTTGAGAATTCAATCCACTGCAGTGGGTGGGTCATGTTGAAAATGGCTGGAGGGGTTTGGAAACACAAGTCTGAGATGTCAGCGCCTCAGTGGATTTATTTTTAGATGTTGATTTGTTGCCCTGATTCTTAAGATTCATCCAGGAAGGACCAGCTCCTGAAGCTTCTCCCAAATGGTGCAAGGACTCTGCTTTCCCAGCACAGACGAGGAGATAGCACTGTCGCACTGACACGTAACTGCCGACTTCTAATACGGCAAACACGGTACCTCAAGAAGGTTCTTGTGGCAGTTTAAGCTAATAATTTTGCTCCTTTTTATTACTTTAAAGCTTTGCAACTCAAAACAATAGTCAAGTATTTAAACGTAATTTTAAAGACTTCCTTACTTTATTTTTTGAGCAGATTGTCAACGCTTCCAACCAGCCACGCTAATCCTTTTTAGGCAGCACGTGAAAGAAGGGGAACAGATACGCAGCTGAAGACTGCACAAGTAACACTTGTCTCCAACGGACTGGCATGCTCAGAGAACGATCTACAGCGTCTTGGAAATGTCTCAAATGCTCTAAATCATCCCAAGGACGTACTTTAGTCTGTTTATGGCAGCCTTGACACAGTGTCACACCCCACCCGACCCCAAAGCAAACAATGCTCCTTCAAGAAAACACTCCGTTATGGCTCCGAGCAGAAACGTAAAGGCAAAGGAACGTGCTGAGGCTAGGTTTGATGAGCCAGAATTGTTTCTGTAGGACAGAAAACGTAGGGAGGAAATTCCAGATGGGGAACGGTGTGAGAAAGACCAGCTTGGCGATCTCAAGCCTAAATGTGGACACAAAAAAATAGAATATTTGATATGGGTTTAGCGAGGTAGCATGCATGGAGGTCAGCCAAGCTGAGGGTTGAAAAACCACTGATCTATGTTGAGCTGGAACTTAGAGTAGAACTGACCAAAGGACGTTTTCTCTAAAAAAGGGAAGAATTTTTGAAGTAACTTTTCCTATGGGAGCGGCACCACTGCATTGAGCATCTACTCAACGTGGAGCTTTGGCTACTACCGAGGTGCTCAGCTCTACCTAGACAAATGCAATTTGAAGACCGAGACGAGAATTAATCTAGTTCTTCAAGCACCTGTGGCTGCAGGAGAAGAGCTTACCAAGGAAATTGGGAAGTCAGTGGAGGCAGGAAGACAATAGCTGAAAGCCTGAGATCAGAAATCCCGTCATTCCATCCTCAGAAGATAACCATCTTGGACTGTGTCATTCAAAAAGACAAAAATACAGACCCACAAAGGAAAGGATGTACAGTGTCATGAAAGAAACTGGAAAAGAAAACAGATGAATAACAGAGTTTGGTCTTCCTGGAAGATGTGTCACTGACCTCAGTACAAAGGCAAATTGGCTAAAATGTGACATGCTCACTAAATTCAAGTCAGCCTACATGACCTCATGTTCAACATGAAACAATAACTGGAATTTGGAGGGAGGGAAAGCCAAATCAAATAAAGCCGTTTAAAAACTATAGTGACGGTTATCCCTCACTTAAACAAACTATCAAAGGAAACAGCAAAAACCCCATCACTTGACATTTTAATATGAAGACTAGAAATCCCTCTGAAAGATTTACTTAAGTCAAAACATGGTATCAGGTTTAATGAAGGAGCAAATCATGTTTAACAGCTTTATTGAGCAGTGAGACAAAATGATCTAGTACTACTACTCTGCCCTTAAAACCAACGACTATTTTTCTCCCTTTTTCCTCTTTTTTTTTTTCAATTTACAAAAGGTAGAAAGGTTGGAGCGAACTGAATAGAGGAAGTACTGGCAGTGCTGCCTTCTCCTTCAAGCAGAACAACCGACATTACTGAAGCATCCACCGAGATCAAACAAGAGAAGAAAACCCTTCGGTCTGAGGCAAGGCGCAAGCTCGTAACAGCCAGACTACAGCAGTCACAGTCATTTGGAAAGCTAGCCTTAATCATCTGAGGCGGAAGGCTGGACAAGAAAATAATACGGCATTTTCTCAAGAAAACATACAAAAAGAGAAAGCCTTGAGGCTTTTTTGGTAGCAACCCTGGATGACCTTTAAATAACGTTCTCACATTTTGGACTGTAAAAACAAAGTTATAAAAAAAATACCCAAAACCCACCAGCACCAAAACCCCCAACACAAAACAAAAAACCCACCCCAAGCTGCAGGAACTTCAGGACTAATTCCAACTGGAAACCTGCTGACAACACTCCTCCGCTTATGCTTGTCTGTTCAGATATCAGCATTTCTTTAACATTTCTCCTTCCTCCTCAGCATTTCCTACTTACGGTCCTTTCCCCAGCTCAGTCTCCACTTCAAGCTGGCTCCAGTTTCCTGTCACAGGCGAGACCCTCCACACCTTCAGTCGTTTCGGGTCGGTCTGTGCTACACCTCCAGCTCAAGCTCACCCTTCCAAAAACGCGTGACCAAAGCTGTACACCAAACCCTCCAGGTCCCATGCTGCACCTCTGATCCACCCTTCATCGCTACCAAAAATTACAGCTGCCATCACCCCAACTGTTCCACTGCTGCCTGCAGTGGCTCCTTTTTCTGGCAAGTTTTGGGTTTGACCTGCAACCACCTGACTTTGAATTCGCACAACTGGTGTCTTTCTGCTCCTAAAAGCCCGTTCTTGACACCATCCAATTCCTGTGCAGGCTCCAGCCCCCTGTGTACCGGCCATGCCTACAAGCTTCCAGCCAGCAGCAGTTGCAGTGGCTGCCCTCCTCCTTGGCCAAGATCCTTAATATGAACTACAACAAAAGAAGGAATGACTGAGGCAGGTACTTTGATTGCCTCCTCGTTCACTTTCCATCACTGCCTCAGGTCATCTCTTCCGGCTCGCTTCCGCCACTGCCTTCCCTGGTTTTCCCACTAACCGCATCTTCTTCTCAACTTCATCTAGCACATCCTTTACCAGGCGACAGAAATCTAATCGCACCTCCACTACCCAACAAAGAATACTGGTCCAGCCTAACAGCTTTCCTTCGTTACAGTACGCTTTTCCAATTACTCATTTACTCAGAGCCCTTTTTCTCCCCTTTCATTTTTAATTCAGCCTTTCCAACCGTAACCTAGAAGCGGGTACCCATCATCTTGTCACTGCCAGGGTGGCCTTTCTGCTCCAGCATCCGCAGGACCCTGGATGACTCTCCAGCAGACCGACTGATGCCAAGCGCCCGCACCAAGCACACCGAACACCTTACCGCCACAGCGGCACTGCCCTGTCGCACCCATCAGTGCCGCATTTCAGACCCAACCCCCCCCCAAAAAAAAAGCTCGTGCCCGAGCAAGCATGGACGACAGCTCAGAAATACGCAGCTGAAGGACAGGCAGCTTCAGAACCCAGCCCGAGAAGCGCGTGGCCATGAACACCGGTGCCTCCATTTCTAGTTCATCCATTTATTGACTCACTGCCAACACAGCTTGCTTACATAAACCACGGCCAAACTGATGCAACAGAAGGAAAAAAACCACCACCCCTCTTGGTTTTCCTCAGGAAATTTGCTTGCAAATGAGGCCGTCAGCGATTCTTAGCAGCCAGATGTTAGATGTTTGTTTTATGTATGTTGAAGAAGCATCTTCAGCCTGACAAAGAAGCATCTTAAAACACGAATTACCAATGACATACGAATCCCACTCCAGCTGCAGGAGACCACATTTGAGCTTTTGCATGTTTTTGGCCACAAAGCTCTTGGAAGCGTTTTCGCTGGGGTAACTGGCAGCTTTAAGGCTGCTTTTCTGTTTTGTCCCATGGAGGGGAGGGGAATGGTTTTACCATCAAAGCAATTGTAACGGGTGACATTTTGCGCTCTAAACCTTCAAAGCAAACACCTTCCTCCCCTCTTCCACAGAGGTAAAATTCCACTTTATATAGTGCCCCCCTTTGGTACAAACCTGCAAGTTTCAATCTTTCTTGACTGGCAGCCTCCCAACATTTTCCTGAGGGAAGCGGAGGCCGCTCTCTGTATGTGCAGGAACGGGGGACAGTAACTTTTGCCCGACCCCGAAACACAGCGCACTAACCTTTGGTGCACAGCTACTAGCGCAGATCAGCAGCGAGCAAACAGCCAACCCGAGGAGGTTTACATCCAGGTTCTCTTTTGCCCATCCTGGATTCCCTTCTTGCAGCAGCTAAACTTTTGCCTCGCGTTTTTAAACCACGTAGGGATGAAGGACACCTTACCAAGGAGCACTGGAAAGGCCGAAAGAGCCGCCAGCCGAAATCCAGCCTGCCTTAAAAGCATTTCTGCCCATGCTGAAAGAAACAACATCCCTCCGTATGGCAAATAAACCACATCCTGCTCCACGCTTCCATCATCACAAAGAAAACAATGGACACTTCTCACGTTGGACTGCGGCAAAAGACATTTATTATTATTATTATCGTTGTGTTGCTGTTGTACCTCCTTCTGCTCTGCCCACAGTGGTGGCGTAAATGCTGTTACCACATCGTAGCTGATGATGCCGGCGTACAAATCAAACTCCATCTCAATTTCAAACTCCATTAGAAACACAGGAAAAAAGATCAACATTTACGAAATGTAAAGGGAAAAATGGTATGGAAAGAATTTCTTTTTTTATTATTATTTTTCAAGCTTCCAAGACAGTATTACAAACAACAGAGAGCAAAGTAAAGCTAGAAATGAAATACTTGACAGCATCTGTTTAAAAATTACAGCTAAGAGACCTAATAAAAGTTGAATAAACAGTTACTAGAAATAAAAATTTTTACACATATGATATTTGTCTGGGGTTTTTATTTCTTTAAAATAATTCATACAAATGGTTACAGTCACAAACATGATTTTAACCAAAAATATTGCTAGCCTACCACATTACCAGGAAGGAATCAATGTAGGCAATGAAATGCTGCTACTTTTCAGTAGTCTAGTGCCTTTTTCGCATACCACCAATAATATATACTTTAACTGGTGACAAAAAGCACAATGCTCATTTATACAAAACCTTTTTTGTTTTTTCCTCAAAATCTCTTTGCAAGGTTGTCTTCATTTTGAAATAAGGGAATTCATGCCAAAATTAGGAGAAACTGTTTTTATTTCGTTTACTAAATTATTCTAAAAAATAAGACAAGCAGGTAGAAAAAACAATGCACTGTGTGGCGTAGAAAGAAAAATGGGAAAAATTCATTGTCCTGAGAAGTTCGCCAACTGCCTCATTTTTGGGCATGTTTTAAAATATAAAAGAAAGGATTTTTTAATCTCAAAATTGGTTTGTTGAATGCCTCCCTTATGTTTTTCCTTGCTTACAGCTAAGCAAACAAACCCTTTTTAATGTTCTAAAAACTGTACACAGACAAGTACATTCATGATATAATTAACTACTAACTTCTCTTGCTTAACAAAGAACCCATAGGACACAGAAACAGTGAATCAGTCCACTGGACAGGGACAAACTACAATTTATACGGAGGAAAAAATGTTTCCAAATCTTCTTTTTGTCTCCCACCTTTTCCTTTTATACTGTATATTGGACCAGTTTCTAAACCAATAATCGTCTCCTCCTGTAAGTTCATGGTTTTGCCTTTAATCAAAATCCTGGGTTTTGTTTTGTTTGTTTGTTTTCCACACGCTGAAGTTGAAATCTCCGATGTTGGGAATGCTGTTTTCGTAGGCTACAATTGGTCGCTTGGGTGGTCTCTATCAGCTTCTGGTTTGACAGTTTGGCCGGGGGAAGGAGCATGGGGCGGGTGGGCTACAGCAGGGAGGCCGTGCGATAAAGACATGGGGTTGGGGACTATTCCTTCTACTGCTGCAGGTATGCCAGTTGAAGCCACACTTACAACGCCTGGGGGATACCTGCTGAGAGAAGAAACCGAGAACATACATTAAAACCCAAGAGATGACTGACCAGAACGCCCTCCATTCTAGAGGTAGAGACGATGCTTTGTTTTCAGACCAGTGAGAAGGACAGTCGGTTAAGCTCCAGGTGAGATACCGTATGCAAATGCTGATAAATAAAGCAAAAGATGCTGTATTCTACCCAAATCAGAAATAAAGGTTTCCTAGATTGTTTCTTCAGATTTCCCATTAGCACAAGCGACAGCACAGCAACAGGAACAACCTGGAAGTATCACTCCTCTCAAAGAACACCTTAACAAGAAATAACTCAGGCTAGTTCTGCACAGCATGTAACTGTCCTCCGTGCCTCTTCCTCAAGCTGACTGTCAGAGATTGTTTTTTCTATTTCATTCTCACGTAGAAATGTTAAGATGTCACGGATGTTTAAAGAAATACTTTTTCAAACCACTAAGCTTGCAGTCGCAGGTTTCTTGATAGCTCTCCCAAAGAGAAATCCCACCCACACTCTCCTGACAAATTCATAGAATCATGGAATGGTTTGGGTGGGAAGGGACCTTAAAGACCATCTAGTTCCACCCCCCCTGCCATGGGCAGGGACACCTTCCACTAGACCAGGTTGCTCACAGCCTCATCCAGCCTGGCCTTGAACCCTTCCAGGGATGGGGCATCCACAGCTTCTCTGGGCAACCTGTTCCAGTGCCGCACCACCCTCTCTGTGAAGAACTTCTTCCTGATATCTAATCTAAACCTCCCTGCTTTCAATTTAAACCCGTTACCCCTTGTCCTGTCACTACAGGCCCTTGTAAAAAGTCCCCCCCAGCTTCCTTGTCAGCCCTTTCAGGCACTGGAAGGTGCTATAAGGTCTCCCCGGAGCCTTCTCTTCTCCAGGCGGAACAAGCCCAACTCTCTCAGCCTGTCCGCATAGCAGAGGTGCTCCAGCCCTCTGAGCATCTTCGTGGCCTCCTCTGGACTCACTCCAACTGGTCTATATCCTTCTGATGTTGAGGGCTCCACAGCTGGATGCAGCACTCCAGGTGGGGTCTCACCAGAGCAGAGTAGAGGGGCAGAATCACCTCCCTCGACCTGCTGGCCACACTTCTCTGGATACAGCCCAGGATACGGTTGGCTTTCTGGGCTGCCAGCGCACACTGCCGGCTCACGTTCAGCTTTTTGTCTACCAATTCAACCCTACTGCACCTTTTCAGCATCAAACTTGCCACTGTACTTGTCTGAAAGAGACCCCGTACTAGTTACACAGAGGACAAGCGCTTCAGGCAGACTGCAAGAGAGAGAGACGCAAACATAAAAACTACGGATGGTTTTAAAGATGATTTACTCTATCTGGACAAACAACGAGGCTTAAATATTTTATGAATTCAACAAAAAAAAAGTCACCCTCCCATTCATCTTGATTTTATGATGGCTCTGATATTATCAGGCTAAAATAAATCTTTTAAATCTACTGTTTCAATCCAGATGTTCAGATGTAATTGATGAACACTGGTATCTCACAGCGCTGTATATAAACAGCAGCTATACACGAACACTTCCACCGAAAGCGCGTTTTGGTTTTAGCCAAATACCTCAATACCCGTTCGCAAGTCCTTGCACCGGCCCTGTAACGCTGGCCCTCTGCCCTCCCTCCTCATCACGCAGCCATACACCTGTCCCTTCTTGTCTCCTGCTCTCTTCCGTTCACCCAAGCATCCTAGTGAGAGCGTTATCCATTTAAAAGCCTCAACACGCAAACCCACCACTTAACTCGCCGTGGCATTTGCTACCCTAGTATTTACTTGGAACTGAATGGGAGAAAAGGCACTTCTAGTCTTGTCAAGCTTTTTTAAATATCACATTATTCTGCTGTTGATTCTCCTCTCGTCAGAGTTTAACGCTAAATGCATCAGGGAATTTCACCCCATTTCAGTAGCATTTTTTCCTCTGAGGTACCCGCATGATTGTGCTGCTCATTCTAAGTTCCCTCAAACTGAGAGAAAACAAGCGCAGAACTTAAGCAAAACTCAGAGGAAGAAAAATGCTGGATGAAAGCACATTTCTTTGTTCTTTTTTTTCTTCCACCACAGAAACTGATTTTTGCAAATGCTGCCAAAGGGGCTCCGCATGGCTACCCGACACGGCACAAGGACGATGAATGCACCGTACACTGGCCTGGTCATAGTGGAAAATATTCCTACAGACCGTACCGCTGACTGTCAGCTGGGATCCATAACCACAGTGTGAAAGATCACACGACCTGTAGGCCAGATAACTTTGTTCCCAGCTGTACACATATTTACAGGGCTTCCTATGCTAATTCCTTCTCCAGAGAGGTTCCTTAGAATTAATTTGCAGTTGCTAATGGAATTAGTTGCTTGTTTCAGTACCTCAATTTGAATCTTATTAATCAAATTTGCTTCAATTCCTACAAAAACTGTCAGACTAGGTATGTTTTATTTATTCAAATTTAGTTTTGAAACAGCTTATCTGTTACTCTAGATGCTTCATAAAAACCGTAACATGGAACGACAAAAACTTCCATTTCAAAGCCCAATACAGCAACTGCTTCCAACACAGAATTTCTACTTTTAACAACATATTCCCTGAGTATCGGCACACTGGAGCTGGGAGAAATCACGGCGAGAAAAAATTCCGTAACTGAGTTTCCTTCAGGAAGAGAAGTCAGAACCGCCCCTCGTGAAAATGGACAGCACTGAATCAGAAGCACTGATAGTTACCATAAGCAGTTCAAACTCCACATCTGTAATTCTCCTTTGACTCCAAATATTCCTTCTGTATGTAAAAATATTCCCCTTGGACACCAAATTATAATGACTGGGATTCTACTGCCAGGCCTTCTCCTCAGACACAGCCTTCCTACAGGCTTTTAGTAACATCCAAAAGCTCTCCAACTGTTTTTCTTGTCCTAAAGCTACGCAGTAGCCAAAATACAGGTATCGTAGTCCTCTACAGAAGCTGTATTTTGCTTGACTAGCCCTAACCCTATTTTGCCATTCTCTTTTCATAATTCTTGTCCCTTTGTAATTTAATCATCAGCATTGTTCAAATCGTACCCATGAAAGGAGAACACAAGCTCGACAGCCTCTACACATGGGCATTTCTATCCTACATAACCTTCCCTTATGTTGCTATTTATTGCTTTTCCATTCTTAACCAGCAAATACATTCTCTCCAGCACTTCATAAAGTTGCTCCCAATCTTCCTCCTCTGGCAGAATTAAGTTGGAACGTTTTCCAGGTAAAATGTCCAGAGAATTACATTTTTGTGGCAGCAGAAGCCAGAGATCATGTGCATCTCTGCTACTTCATACTCTTCCTTCCCCTTCCCACACAGTCTTAATTTATGAAGAAAAATACCGTAGCCCTCTCAATTACAAATGAAAGGCAACTTTAATTTCTATGTTAATCTTCTGCATTTTTTACACTACAAAAGCACCTTGAACTCACCATGTAAAGCTCTGTTCAAGAAACATTCTGTCCCAAAAGAGCTTAAAAATTTAACTGCATGCTGTTCTCATGCATTACAGTGCCTGCAAATCACCACTGAAATATGTCAACATGAAATAACTCCTGAACTACCAGCATATAACTATTCTTAGCCAAGTACCTCTTCAGTATCTAGATATTCTCATCATTTACCTGTTAGAAGGCAGAAAGATATGTCAACATGTCCATAAATTGCACAATCACTGTTTACCGGCTGACAGATTTCACTTTGCCTATAACCTGCATGCTCTGTGACACAGGAAATGGCAGGGGGTTATTTAGCAGGCAGCTCAACAACAAACACATGGTAATAACACAAAACCAGGGTACATTATGCTGCTTCACCAAGACTACTACAAATAGTTCCTTCTTAGGAATATCAATAATCTTTACTCAAGGGACAGGTCCCATTCGCTTGACCTTTTTGTATTGATAGAGCATCTTACATTTCACACAGTAAATCGTTTTGTTTTCCACAGAATACGATGATATTCCAAAGATCTAGATTATATTCTGCTGATGAATGCTCAATGTTCTCTGCTCCTGATAATATCTGATAATTTAAGAGTTCTGTCCTACATCGAAATACAAGTAAATGATACATCCAGAATAAAACAGCCTCCTTAGTTTTCGTTCCCCGAAAGAGGTATTTGCATTTTTTAACATATAAATTATTAGCCCAGGTCTTATCTTCTAATGCAATTACATGACTATGATACAGTTATTAGCACATCTGAAACATCATACTGCCTGGGAAAGACTTCAGAACTCACTTAGTTGAACGTACCTTGGACTGCAGAGCAAAACCAGAAAAATTTGTTTTGAACCATCAATTCAAATTCTGCACTTAATCCAGGTAGGAATTAAGCATCAGCAAACGCTGCTACTGAAACCAATTTCTACATAAAGCCTGAGCTTCAAGTTCCACATATTTTATATTGCACAAAATAGTAACTGCCTTCACCCACACTATTCTGTCACCCTTCCAAAAAGAAGCTTTGAATATCTGTTGTGTGATTTTTAACTTCTCCTTCAAAATTCCCAAAATGAGTTTTATTTTGCATTTGAAAATAAGTGCGAAGTCAGTATTTATTTACGTTAAGTTTTCTTTATTGAAAAAAACTGACTGAAACAATGTGAAAGTCATTCAGTTTTGTGTTTATGCTGCTTTAATGCAATACATAGGGTCTTTACCTTGCAAATCATTAACTCCCAAAACATTCCTAAGTCAAAATCCATTTCCAGCTGTGAAGCCTGCTTCTGTTGGACTCGTGACCCCAAAAATGAGAACAAACAACGACATTTCCGTTGGGCATACAACCCTGCTCTGAACTGCCGTAACAGGGTTGGAGTTGTTATCCCCAGTTCAGCAACGCCTGCCCTTAAGCCTCAGGTGCATTCAGCTATACCCTAAGTACTGCAAACTGAAGTCGGTGAAACCACGTGCTATGTGGAGGAGAACACAGGTGCTTGAACTTTTCCTTTAAGCAAATAAAAGCACCCTTCTTCAGATACTTAAGGCTATGGGTACTTCTTGCAAAAATAAACATCTTGATGTGATGTGACATATATCCTTGCTGAGCACATCAAAGTTTTGTTTTCTTTTCTTTTGGTGTGTTTACAGCTACTGATAAGGAGACAATGGCAGAGTGTAGTGTCGCCCCACCATCATCTCTCCATCACCTTCTGACGAGACTGGCAGTAGTCACTGGGACACGAGCTTTGCTTCACTTCTCAGCAGTGCACTGCTGGGTTCTCACAGCTGGCTAACACACAAAAACCCTCTATCTATTGTAAGTATGGGGCAGCCCTCCTAAAGGACAAAGAAAGAAAGGTTTATGAAGGAGGACAGTAGAAAGATTAGGACAAATAATGAAAGGACTGCACTTTCCCTCAAGGCATTGACGGAAGCAGCTGTTCGTAGCTTTCTCAGCCACTTTCATCCTACTTATAACTAAATACCATCCTGAAAGATAAAAAAAATCACAGACAGTTTTCATAAATAAAAATTCTGTGAAGCTGGCCACTAGGAAAAATCTGCTCCTAGAACAGCTGCTAAGGATAAAGGGACAGAGCAAGACTCTCAAGCAAAAGAAGTAACTAAGGAACATACATACTAGATGTAAAAAAATTGCCCTTCTATTAATTATTAAGAGCTGCTTTCACAGTTGATTGAGAATACATAGATCAAGTCCCTCAGATGCTTTTGCTTAAAAACTAAATGTGTAATTTAGAAAACACTATTTTAAACATACTTTCATAATCACCAGAAGCTATTCCACTGTATTCACCACTGAGTTGTTTGTTCTGTCGTGTGTTTGGAGGCCACAAAACCATGTAACAATAGTTTATTTATTGGAAGTCTTTCTGTAACCTACTGCTGCATCATTACCTTCAGCAAAAGGAACATAAATTTACACTGCACTCTCTGGAGATGACCAGAATTGTTTTACTTGAATATACAAAAAACCTGTGCATTGTTCAGATATTACCAAACATACAAAAAAGGTAAAAAAGGAAACGTACTTACGCACTGCATGACTGACTTCAACGAGCAGAACAAGATTATTCTTGAGTGCAACAATTATCAAAACAATATAGGTGGGGTGTAATTCAAACCCACTTCGTTTATTAGTAGGAAGATCTTATGTATGCTTGCATGCCTACCTCTGAATGAAGGAGGCATTTCTTTTATACCTTCAGCACGCTTACCTGTATGCAGCACCATTAAGCTCTGGATGAACAACTCCGGGATCCATACTGGCCCAATGTGTAGCTGCAGTCAAATGATCTTTGTTAACACAGTTTTTCAGACTGTCTGGAATACGACCTAAGACGAAGCAAGGGAGAGGAAATTAAAAAAAACACTAAAATTGTATGCCTTATGCTTTTAATGTATCTATGTTAAAAGTAGTTATAAATATTTGCATATTTCAGTCAATACATAAAATCACACTACGGGCTTATTTTTGATCCTCACTCTTCCCCTTTTGTCTGGGACTTAGTCAATAACGGTTAAAATGCTCTGCGTAGTTTTTATTTCTGCATCTCTTTGTCCTTTATATACAGGGTCTCAATAAAACCATAATCAACATGATTCATGCTTGCCAAGAAGCTAAAGCTTGACTACAGAGCATGGTGCCACTCAAATTCAGTAATGCAGCCTCCTGTCTTTAACTTCACTTTCCTCCTTTTCC